ACACCATTAATGGTGCCTTCACAGATGTGCAGCTCACCCACTAATATCCCCCATACCATGACAGATGGTCGTAACAAACTGGATGGTTCTTTACTTCTTTAGTCCAGAGAACACAACGTCCATTATTTCCTTTAAAAATTTGAAATGTTGACTCGTCAAACCACACTACAAATTTCCACTGTGCATCAGTTCATTTCAGGTGAGCTTGGGTCCAGAGAAGTCAGCAGCATTTGGACAGTGTTCAGATTCATCAATGAAGCATGCCAGTCTGAGGGGTTGAAAGTCACAGGATTCAGTTGTGGTTTTTGCTGTTACTTTTTCCACACAGAGATTTTATGGATTTCCTGATTCTTTTGATGATATCAGCACTGTAGAGGGTGAAATACCTAAAATGCTTATTCAATCATTAGTTGAGAAACAGTTGGACTATACCAGCGGTTGGCAACAGGCGGCACCGGAGTGTGGCTCTTTTACTGCCCTGTTGCAGCTCCACAGCAGAATTAGATTTAAAATAAAGAAGTATTAGAAGTAAAATAAAGCTCTGCTGCTAGTTCTAACACAGTTTTAACAATAAACTGTCTTAAATGCTGCAGTTAATGTATAACTGCTAATTCACCCTTTAACCTTGAAGGTTGGCGGGCAGACTGCTGGTCACCATAGCAATGACAACAATCTGGCCTAGCTAGTAGCTAACGAAAAGGCAAAGAGAAAGACTTATTTGCATTTATAATCACTCCAGCTGGTTACCTGATATGTTTCATCTACAACGAGAAACTGTCAAACACTTAAAAAGTCGCAAAGCTGTAGTCAGCTTCTCGCTCACCAGCTTCTCATTTGAATTTTCCCATTCCACCTTAAATGGCACAGTGATTACATTCTGGCGCCTCAGGCACCATTTAAGGTGGAACAAGAAAATTCGAACAAGTAGCTGGAGAATGAAAAGCTGACTTCAGCTTTGTAAAAAATCTAACATTGAGAGACATTTTACAAGAAGCTTTTCTACTTTTAAGGAAAAGTTGCGAGAAAAGCAGCCATAGCTGAGTTAAAGCTTAAAGCAGAGCAAAGTAAGTCTGCACTTTCGTTTATATTACATTTTTAGCCTATACTAGTACATTAACACATACTGAGACATATTTACAGCCAAGATGGCAAAATGCACATGAAATGTTGTGGCTCCCAAGGCGGTTTGATTTTTGTTGAAAGGACAAAATGGCTCTTCTTAACATTTGGGTTGCCCACCCCTGGACTATAGTTGGATGGGGTGAGCCTCAACCCATGCTTGCTCAAAAAGGACTAGGCTTTTCCTGGATGCTCCTTTTATGTCCAATTAAATAAATTTAGGCTTAAATTGCCCCTGTCACTTTTTTAGAACATACCGCAGGCATCAATTTCAAAATGAGTACATATTTACAAAAACAATAAAGTTGATAGGATAAGGAATTAATTATCTTGTCTTTGTACTGCTTTTGTTTAAAAACAGGTCAAAGTAGATTACCGATCACTGTTTTTTGTTGGCTTTTCACATACAGTCCCAACTTTTTCAGAACTAGGTTTGTACTAAAATGATGGAATTCATAGCCTTGAATGACCAACTTTTCTCTGTTCTCGAGGATGCTGGATTTCATTGTACATTCTGTAGCCTACATACTGTTTTTATTCAAGTGTTATGAGCAAGTGTATTTATGTCAGGTTATTTTATGTAAATTGTTTCTATTTATTGTCAGCTCAGTTTTGTCTTTCTTAAAGAAATAGTGGAGGTTATGGCCAAAACTTGTGGATTTGGGATGTCCTTTCACTTTTTATTTTAGAACCATTTTAACAATCAAAGCAAATCTGGAATATTTTTATTGTGCAAAATACTAAATATGAAACCAGGCCAGGAATTTTCATTTGGGTGCCTCACTAATGAATATTGTCTTATTGCTAGTAGTCAGTAATTAATAATATGTTAGTCAATAGTAGTTTCAGTAATCATGGTGATGTAGCAGTCATTTGTTGGGAATTACTGTTTGGATCTTTGGAGTGCTGTTCAGCTATCCATTTTATCTGTATGTCCTCTCATGATCTCCTGAGTACACAGACACACACACACACACACACACACACACACACACACACACATCCAAACATCCTAACACATAATGCTTAATTGCAACAGCGAAGCATAATTAGTTTGAGTGTAATTAGTAGAAAGGGTTAAGTCCTTTATTGCTGTAGCACCACGGATTCAAAATACACCATGACTCAGGCAGTCTTAATTTCTCTCAAGAATTATGATTACCCTTCATATTAATTAATTTTGCACTATGTGCACTGTTTGCTTAAAAAGGAGTATTGCCCAAAATTAATAATTAGAACAGTGTTCTCTGCCTCTGATTCAGGACAGTCATGCCACCTCAAATGCACATTACAGTTTCTGAACACTGTATTTATTCCCACCAAGGCAAAGTAGGCCTGAAAGTTAACATACAGAACATCATCTCAGCAGCCATCAAGGAACTCTGTTGACATACTGCTATTTTCAACTGCAGTTGACCTTTGCTTCATTCTTTCTTTGTAGAGGCTCTGTGCATTGATTACAGGTTCATTTCAAACATTTTTCTTGTACCTTTTCACAATTCTTTTTAAAGGTCAAAGGAATTTAACTTTACCATGCTTTCTATTGTGCCCATATCATCCACATTTCTGTCCTGGCAGTCTTGGTACAATAACTCGACAAGCAGCCTCGTTTTTCAGCTTCAGAAAACAATATAGGCAAGGCAAGTTTATTTGTGTAGCACATTTTATAGTTTTATGTCTATTTTATAGATCTATAAATAACAACTCATACTTCACAGATTTCAAGAGCAAGGATAACTGAATTTTCCCTTGCTTTTTTTAATTCAGTGTTTCTATGATGTCTCAAGAACAAATTCATTTCTGTTTATCCACCTATTCAGCCTACAGCAGTTTTGCCCCACCCACTCAATAATGAAGTATAAAGGATTGTTTCAATTGTGAGTGCTTTTTAATGAGGTAAAGTACACGGCAGCCAAGGAGGACAGAGGAGCTTATTTACATATATCAGTCTTAAGGGTACCATAACAAACACAGCCTGTTTAATTCTAAAGCATAAAGAGAGGTTGGAAAAAAATAATTACGAGCATTTTTGGTACATAAAACCACACAAATGTCATAAGTGGACCTCAAGGGAAAACATTAAATACCAAAAATAAGATATTTTTAAATTAAATATTTTACAGTATTTTTTTTCAACATGTCTCCCTCATGAATTAAGTAGCACTTTTGATACACAAGGCATTCAAGATGTTAATCTTATTAGACTTTCATTCTCAATGTTTCTCATTGTAGACACTTCTAAATGTGGTTTTATCAACTTGCTTGTTTCTTACAAATTATTTAAAACCTGTGAAGTGGGGGAACACATGTTGGTTTTGAACAATTTTAAAAGTACTTCAGCATGATTAATACTTTATCATACAAGTAATTACAAAGCTTTACAACTTAAATACATTAAAATATATTCATCAAAATAAGTATGATCAGTACGAAGTGAGTGTGAAACATGGCAAATAGAACAGCATGGCTTGTTATGCTATGTTTTTGATGAGTCTGTGCATAAAAACTTCCAGAAATGGTTTGTTTTGAATATTTATGGAAGTATATGTGCTTCTCTCATTATTTCTTTTAGAAGGCTTAATTGTAACACTGCTTTGCAGATAACCCTGCCGTGTGGAGGCTGTACTTTAGCCTGGCTAATTCTCACTGAGCTGTCTACATGAGTTGTCTGCTTCGAAAGGGTGTGATATTATAGCCACCGAGAGAGATTAAAATAATATAGGTGTGAATTCTGTTACTTATGCATACAACTCAGTAATCAAAAACACTTCAGGGTGAATCTGGAGAATTATCTGTCTGATTGCTGTTAAAGTTTGCAGATGATGATATGGAAATATGAAAACATGACCACAACACATTTTATTTGAATTTTAGTTTAACCAATGGTTAAATATTGGTTTGATTAGCATATTAGAATTATTTTATACATTAATATTGCAGTAAACATGCCAGTTTTTCGTAATATGGTAGACGTTCTGTAATTTGGGAGATATTTAAAACTTAAGTTTTAATTTAAAGCTGCTTAAGTTTATTGCTTGAAAAGCCATCACTACAGTTTAGGCAAATAAGCTGTTTCACAAGAGATTTTTTGTTGTATGTAGAGTAGTGCTGCTTCCACAAGTTCCTGCTACACTGTCACGCTGCGATCATGTGATACAACCCCGCTTGTAAACAGTCACAGGGAGCACAACTGCAGCAGGGGTGTAAGGAGCACACAGACACTTTTCTCCATCAAACAGGTGAAAACTCACATCCCACCCAGCTTGGGGAAGGAAATGCTCAATCGCATGAATCCATGTATGTTTGGAGTCACAAACTGCATGTGAGTGAAGTAATAGGTACAAAAGAATACTGAACATGATGAGTCAACAGGCATATCCAGTAGTATTTAGTTAACTTTTATATATTTATATTTTTTAAATATTTACTGAAGAATTCACTGCAGCGTACAAAGTAAAAAAACTAATAAGTTACCTTAGTGTCTGTTACTACACTGTCTATTGGCTTGGTGCTAACACATTGTAGAAAATCCTGTACACCCTAGTAGAAGGTAGCATTGTCCTTGCTACTGATAAACCACAGCATGAAGTGCTGTTGTATAATGCTGTGTAGCATTTTTATGATGATTATATATTATGTCCTTTTTATGGTGGTAAGTTACATTACAGGTGTTAGTACTATGCTCCATGTTTTAATTCATGTTAGCTTCTCAGCTGTACCCTGCTGAAAAAAAATCATAGAAACCTTTAAAATAATTTGTTGGTGTATAGTATTTGGAACAAAAGGTAAAAGGTTAGGTTCAGTGTATTGGCACATGTCTAATCTCTCTCTATCTCTCTCTCTCTCTCTCTCTCTCTCTCTCCCTCTCATTCTATCTGTAGTGGATGGCTGTACGGACTGGTCTGTGGACTATCTGAAGTACCGCGTGCTGCACGGTGAGCCGGTGAGAATTAAGTGCGCTCTGTTTTACGGCTACATCCGTGCGAATTATTCTCAGGCTCAGAGTGGTGGGCTGAGTCTCATGTGGTACAGAAGCTCAGGGCTGGGTCATGGAGACTTTGAGGAGCCAATCACATTCGACGGCTTGCGCATGAGCAAAGAGGAGGATGCCATCTGGTTCAGACCTGCGGAGCTACAGGACGCTGGCCTATACTCCTGTGTACTCAGGTTAGAGTGCAATGCACACACACGTGCGCATATATGCACATGCAAATACATATACACATGCATACATAACTGGGGGCACAAATTCTTGTTATGTAACCACCTAGTAGAATAAGGTGCACTAATAAGGTAGTTATGTCTAAAGCCTTGTGCAAGCTGGATTAGTTTTACCTGGGGGGGACTGTAAATTTGGTGGTTACTGGGGAGATCCTTGATTTTATTCCAGTATGAATCTGCAGTATCTGTAGTTTTTAAAAGTTTCTTAAGCATTCACCAGAGTGAATTACCAGATTTACATTTAATCCTGTGTGAATCAGATAGTCAAATCCCTTACAAATTTCCTTTAGGTGCAGTAAAACTAAACCAGCTTGAATAGGGCTTAATAAAGTAAATGTACACAGTGTTTAATAACTCCTGCAACACTGCTGTGTCTGGTCCACTTGTACCAGTGCAACCATAGATGAATGGGGTAAAGAAAGGCTATCAAATTATGCAAGGAAGCAAATGGACAACAGTCTGTAATTTTGCATGCAGGTACACATGTACACATATACATACACTAGGGATGTAAGTGATTAATCGAATAACCGTTAACCACCAAATAAGAAACTGTTTGACCAACGGTATCGGTTAAGAAAAAATCTTTTTATTTCATTTTCAATAAAAAGACAGGTTTGTCGTACAAATTGAGGAATGTTTTAATTGTATGCAAGAGGGCACAGTAGGCAACTGGTTCCACTAGATGCAACTACTAAAAATGAATTGTGCAGCTACAAATGATCAAGTTCAGGCACTACAAAGATGAACCATGTACCATATCACATGGCGGTGTGAGGAAATCACACAACTGTGCAAAATTTATATAGAAGGATGTTAGGGGCAGTCAAAAATTACTGAGGTACATTGAGCCAAAGCTAGCCCCAGTCATTTCTGTTCATTTTAGCTAGTACTAGTAAAAAGCAGTATAATATAATAATATTGTAATATATCTTTAAAAACTTTCAGTATAGAACTTTCAGTAGCCCATCAAAGTATATTCCAGTCATTTTATCAACTTTAGTTTTTGGTCAGAAAACCCTGAACATATTATTGTTAACAGTCCCGCTGTTTAAACAAAGCTGGGTTCTTATATAGAGTAAGTTTAATACAGTTTTGGGCCGTTTATTTTATATACATACCTGACCCCACCAAGTACTTTGGTCCACAATCCATATAGGCAGCACATTGTTTTATCTTCATGCACTCATTTTACAGTGGCTTTGACTGAGGCTCAGCCAGTTAAATTTCAGAACTGATACTGATCCATTTTGTAATTGATATTTTGATGGCTCACGTCCTTAATTGTTGGCTTGCCAGTCAATGATTAATTGCTGACTAATGATGGTTGATTATTTGTCCAAATAATTTGCCAAAATGTACATCCCTAACATACACATATACGCATATATGCATGCACATACATTGATGTAGCATCAATATTATTTTGTTTCTGAATCAGTGGAGTCTGTGTAGGACCTAACAAGTACTGTGCGTGTGTATGTGTGTGTGTGTCAGTTGGTGGGGGTTATTGAGCTCAGAGCCAGTAAAAGTGTAAGTGAGCTCTGGTAAAGACAGCAGAGGACAGAGAGAAAGCTCTGTCATCCATCAATCACATGCTGACACCCTGACACTATCCCACAATGCTGCAGGCCACAGGCACGCATATTAAACAGCTGTGGAGCTCTCGGAGGCTCTCATTGGCTCAGGTGTCTGTCTGCTTAAGGTTAAATCTGATAATCTGCTCATCATGCCAGCATTTGCATCAGGGAATGTCACTTTCAATCTAGTGCCTAATCCATGTTTGTAGCATCTCTCTAAGCGTTTTATTTGTGATTTTCTTTGAGACACGCTTGTTTAATATGCATTTCTGCATTTCATGTGTCTCCTGAAACTACTCCTGAAATGTAACTATCCCGCAAAAATGCTGCATTCACTAAATCAGCAATTATGTACATTTAGCATCCCGGCTGGACCTGGCAATAATAAGCGGGTACACTGCAGGAATGATGTAATGCCTCACATTTTTATCTTAGGCACCAGTAGAGCTGTCAGAATTGTGTTAGTAATCAAGTAATCTCTTGATGATTTGGACAATTAATGGAGTAATCAGATTTTTTTTAAAGAGCCAAAAATGGACTTAACTGAACTATAACAATCTAATCTTTGCTGAACTAGAAAGCCTTTAAAAGGCTATATTCATATTTATATTGAGATTTTTGCATTATCTTTGCAAGTAAACACATCCTCTACAGAGAACAATGTTTAATATGCCATTTTTCTGCACATTTTAGTGCACAACTTCCTTTTTGTTTGGGTTTAACATATTGGAATACTACTACTACTACTAATAATAATAATAATAATAAATATGGTTATTATTATTATTATTATTAGTAGTAGTAGTATTTTATTTATATAGGTTTTTTCATGCTGGTGGCAGCTCAAAGTGCTTTACAGACAGGTGATAAAAAAACAAGAAATTATCAGTATTACTTTGGAGTCATGAGAAAATGACACAGATCAAAATGAAAGATAAATGCCACAAGACGCAGAGTTTTAATTAAACGCGAAGTTAAAGAGATACATTTTAGATGCTTCTTAAAAGTCAACACTGAGCTAGACTGTCTAATAAAAGGTGGAATTGAGCTTCGAAGTTTAGAAGCATAACAACTGAAAGATTCCTCTCCATGTTTTCTGTATGTTACAAAAGTATTTTACTTTTGTAGAAGGCCAGTACCTGCAGATCTAAGATCACATGCTGTAACATAAATCATCACAGACACTCTGTGATGTAAGTGGTGCTTTAAAGTAATTTAGAACCTTAAAAATTAATAGCAGAACTTTAAAATCTATTCTGAACGAGGCAGGTAGCCAGTGCAGTTCTTTTAAATTGGGAATGATAAGATCCCTCTTTTTTGTTTTTATTAGGATCCATGCTGTACAAGCTGTAAGGGATGTATTGTTTCCTTAAGAAGTTTCTCTTTGTCGTTTTGAGATAGAAAAGACCAAACTTTTGCAACATTTCTCAAATGATATAAAGCTACTTTAGTGGCTGCATTTACATGCAGGATAAAACAGAGCTCAGGGTCTAAGATCACACCTAGGTTTCGTACTTCAGGTTTGAAATATGAAGCTAAAGAACCAAGTTTCTCATAAAGCATTTTTCTCTGAGTTTCTGTACCAATGATCAGTATTTCAGTTTTTTCATGATTTCATTGTAGAAAATTTTTCAACATCCACTGAGAAATATCTGACACACAGCTGATCAGTCTGTCTACAGAGTCTTGATCATCAGAAGGAATGGAAATGTATAACTGGGTGTCATCAGCATAGCTATGAAAATGTATATTATGCTTCCTAATGACATCACCTAAAGGTAGCATGTACAAAGAGAAAAGCAAAGGCCCTAAAACTAAACCTTGAGGGACTCCACAAGAAATGCCAAATCTTTTTGATGAATGATTTCCAAGTGAAACCATGAATTGTCTATTACCTAAATATAATTGAAACCATTCCTAAACTGTGCCTGAGAGGCTGAAGTTATGGTATAATTTGTATTGTATATTTTAAATAAGTAAAACATACAATATTAAATTCACCATAACTTCGCCAAATTTTACTTTTTTCTCTCTAATTTGTTAAATTTAGTAAATAAACAGTAATTGTGCATTAAAATGGTGTTTTCTGTAGAGGATACTTGAAAATTGAGTTTAATTGCATAATCTTGACAGACCTAAACACCAGGGAAAGAGTGCCACTCTATAATTCACAAAACACACACACAGAGTAGCAGTTAAAAGTGACAGACAGACCACTTTATGGAAGAAATGTCCATATACTTACCCTAATGGACTCCTTTTGAATCCAGCTTGTACAGATATGCAGTATATATGCAGTTCCAGGAACTCAAACATGATAGCTCCTCATGCATGAGGTGAGGTGGGGGGAAGGTTAATGCTTTTATTATGTGCTTTTTTTCTTGAAAATTTATATCATTGCCTCTCTACAACAGTAAATAAGGGAAAAGGGCGTTCTTAAGTTTAAAATAATAGTTCAAAGTAATTTTGCACCATTTCTATTTGTCCATTCACCATGAAATATTCGCACAATGTAAAGGGCAGCTTGCATTTTTAGATGGTTTGGAAAAAAAGAAACCAGATGTTTCTTGATTTGAAACCATTTTTTATGACATCATTTTGGACCACCTGCACTGTTGCTTATGTACATTAGATTACAGATATTTAGTGAAATCAGAGGTATTGTTGGAGGATGCACATGCATGAACAAGTTACCGTCTGTATTATAGCTATGCTAACTTAACTAAGTAAAGAAGAAAGGTTTTCATAAAAATGGATTCTCTGTTAAGTGCTCCAACGCCTTAATATAATTGGAATTCACAATGTAAATACAATAAGGTATAACTGAGCAGATCTTTAATAAAAGCGAAGCAATTCCCCTGTTTTGGTGACATTTTGAGGATGTTAAACTCAACCACTTGGGACTCTTGCTCACTGCACAGTATACTGATGACTTTCTGGGATAAAAGCTTGAACAGCAGTTTTCATCATCGCAATAGGGATTTAAAAAAACACTAATATTAGTAGTAGTTAAAGAGCAATAAAAGTTGTTGGTGTGTTTTGAAAGCTTCTCTCCAAATAACAATAACCCATAATTAACTATGGTCTTTGAAAAGACCAGAGTAAGATGCGAGAGAGGGGGAGACAGAAGACATAGGGAGAGAGAGATGGAGACAGAGACAAAGACAGAAGGAGGGAGTGAGAGAGAGCAGACAAGAAGTGCTTTGTATAAGTTTAAAAACAGAGGGTTCTTGCTGTGTGGTCAGCATGAGCACTCTGTATCCATGGTAATCCAGTAAAAGGTGGGAGGTCACAACTTTATCTAGATTTTGTCAGTAGCTATCTAAGTCCACGCCCTCAGACAGAACCTGCTCTATTGGACTTTTAATGGACATACACTCATTACTACGCAAGGCAGCAGACAACTCTGTTTCAAATAAGGTGTGTGTGTGTGTGTGTGTGTGTGTGTGTGTGTGTGTGACAATAGGTGTTCTCTACCACCAAGCTAATAATGACAGTGAGAACTCATGGCCAGATGTACATGCATGAGAAGGCACTGCTCAAAACTAACTAGATGCAAAAGCAATGTGCACTCTTACTGCATGTAAAATCAACGTTTAGTTTATTTGAGCACACAAACTGTGCATAGAATCATCTACTAACAGCACCAGGGTGTGCTGAGAAGATGTACCTAACTTTAAGAATTGTTAAACCATTCTATGGCTGCTGAAAAAAATGTGTGCTGAGAAGATGTACCTAACTTTAAGAATTGTTAAACCATTCTATGGCTGCTGAAAAAAATAGAAGAACTTATTTTTTCCTTTGATTTTTTTAATTTCAAATTCTTTTATTATTTTTTATTTTTCCAAGCTGGGAAAGCATGTGCTTCAACTCAACACACTTGGAGGAGAATGCTAACTGCTAATTCGAATAAAGTCTCAGTATCTCTGAAGTCTCTCAGAACTGCAAGGCCAGTTCTTTTGTTTTTGCTATACACTGAAGACCTTTATTTCCTATTATTTACATCTAGATGTGTTGAACAATGGCAATTTGTAGTTGACCAAAAATACTGAAACATGTGACTAAGAGGTGTTGCTTCTTGCCCAGGTGTGCTCTGTTAGATCTTGTATCTCGTAAAACCACGTCATACCTCAAGAGCCAATAGTCAGTCACTGTAGTGTTGAGTTTGCCATCAGTCCACTATGAGAGGATAAAGAAGTAGCACCTTCGCTCCCAGCAAGAAACCACAAAATACAAGGGTTAACATTGGTGTTGCTTTCTATCGCTGGAGACTTTTGGCAAATAAAGTGATGAAGTTTCACTTAAATTGCAACATTTCATCTAGACTGGTACGTAAACAGGGGGAGGAGTGAAGAGGGAGGATGAGGTACTCATCTTACATATTGCATCATCTTACATATTGCTCCTTTAAACTATAAATAGCTCTGAATATCTACACTTGGTTTGAGCCCTGGGTTTCACCTGTGAAGACTGCATTTGTTGCTAAAAAGGACACAACAACATCAAGTCCTGAGACCTGTCTATAGGAGAAAAGCAAACCATTTTGAAGCTGAGAAAAGTGCAAAAATCAGAGCCATGGCACAGGAATTGGGCATAGCCAATACAATAGTTATAAAACTGTAAAAAGTCAACTATTTGGAATGTCCTAAAAAATAAAGAAACCACTGGTGTACTAATGATCAGACATGATGATAGAAACATTGTGAGAGCTGTGAAGAAAAGTCCAAGAGCAGCAGTAAGTGACATCACCTACAACCTCCACAGGGCACGGTAAAGGTATCACAATCTGAAAATGAGAGCAGAAATATAGGGGTCATACCGCAAGATGTAAACCACTCATCAGCAGTAAGAATCAGAAGGCCAGATTGGTATTTGTAAAAAAATGCAGAGATGCGACACAAACATTTTGGAACAGTTTTATGGACTGATGAGACTAGAATTAACCTCTGGCAAAGTAATGGAAAGACCAAAGGGTGGAAAAAGAAAGGATCTGGTCATGATCCAAAACATACAAGCTCATCGATCAAGCACAGAGGAAGTAGTGTCATTGCTTAGGCTTGCATGGCTGCTTCTGGAATGGCCTAACTAATCTTTTTTTGATGATGTAACTGGTAATGATGGTAGAGGCAGAGTGAACTCAGAAGTCTAAGGAAACATTCTGATTACCAATTTACAGAGTTATGCATGTAGTCTAATCAGGAATAACTTTGTCATGCAGCAAGGCAGTGACCCAATACACATTGCCAACACAAGAAAGGGCTTCATCAGTGGAATAAAGAGGAAGGCTTTAGACTGGCCAAGTCAGTCACCAGACCTTAACCCAATTAGTGGTGCATCGATAACTTTTTTTTTTCATGCCAAGTATGAGTATGAGTGCATGTTTTTAGTACCAATACCGATTCCGATACCAAAGTAACTAAAGGTAGTAATGTTACATAGTTTGATCCTCATCTGTCTCTGCAGTCCAGTGACAGCAGGAATCACATCCAAGGAGCTCATTATTTGTGTTGTTGGAGACTTTTTGGCTGGTTGGCTGGCTGAGCTGTAGTTGAAAGTCCTCTAAAGCCAGGCATGCATAGTGTGATTTCGAAAATTTTGCAATTGTACTTAGTTTAACAGAGTGAAGTCAGCATATATGGACTTTGGTTAGCCTACATTACTCCACTCATATTGGGAAAGTAGTTATGATTGTGTTTGTGTGTGTTTAAAAATGGGCTAAAATCACAGTGTATGTCTAGCAGAAATATGCCAAGGCAGAATGTTTAAAGTTACCAACGGCCACAGCGTCAGCAACACTTTGTTGTGCGAGCAGACCCTCGTTCATTGCCAGCTTGAGTCATTTGTTCATTAGCACGGTAGCATACGCTAGGTCTATGTTACACGGTGTCAGGTTGTATCCAGTATCGAGTATTTGCCGTAGCATTTAATATGATGTTGCTGAGTTCATCACACACATGCACCTAAACATACCTTTGCATTCAATTATGAAGAGAAAAATGGTGAATGAAATTCTTCTGCACCAAAACATTCCACAGAAGCATAATTCTAGTCTGGCTCAAAATCTAGTTGCTAGTTCTAAGAGTTTAAATTGTGTTAAATTGTGTTCTCTTAGTAAACATTATTTCAGCATTCTTTGAGGTCTATCACTGCTGTTCTTATCAGTCTCTCAGCGGCACATCGCTGCTAGTTTATGCCAGGTGTTCCATGCAAAATTCTGTGCAAAACTGGCTGCTGAAACTAAAACCATTTGTGTGGCTGTTCCTCAAATGTTTCTCACATGGCATACATATGAATTTTTAGACTCATGCGCAGTTTTATACATTAAACGCAGGATTTTTCATGCTGAAAATGGCCTTTTTCTGCCTGAAACCTGGCACAAAAGCCTAAGTAGATCTGGCTCCCTGGTGTTCAGCATTAAAGCAGCAGATTGGTCACAGTGCTAACATGGCTAACATCTTAACCACCAATTACATAATCTGCCACAGGGGCTCCTAACTTCTGCTCATTATTAGCCATGTTAGCATGCACAGTTAGCAGTTCTTTATCTAACCAATGATTTCCCACTCATCTAGCGAAGTCAGGTTTAATCATCTGAAATCAGCGATAAAAAATGTCATTAATGTAATTCATTTTTGGGCTAGTTTCGAATGGAAAAATTATTTAACAGCTGGGGAAAGTGTCTACACTGCATCAGCTGCAAATTTGGAGCAATTATCACACTGATTGTGCCGTTTCATTTTCTCATTCAGCAGGAACCCTCAGAGTGAAGCGTATGCGAATCAGTATGTACTTTGCCAGTGCAGACTGTGAGTGTGTTTCTCTCTGGCCCTAACAGGAACTCAACGTTCTGTATGAAAGTGTCCATGACTCTGCTGGTGGCTGATAATGACACGGCAGCCTGTTATAACACCAAACTGCGCTATTCAGAGAAGGCCGAACTGGGCAAGAGCAAAGACATCACCTGCCCTGATATCCAGGACTACATCCAGTCTGGCCAGACGCCACATATAACGTGGTACAAGGTAGAGTATGTATGTGTGTGTGTGTGTGTGTATGTGTGTGTGTGTGTGTGTGTGTCTGTGTGTATTTGCCTTCTGCCTGTCAGTGTTCTCTCTGTGTTTGTTTGATAAGGCTATTGTATTTATATTGTTATATTGTTCTCTCTCTGAGCATTGTGTCATATGCTTCTCTGTTTCTCTCTCTCTCTCTCTTTCTTTCTCTCTCTGTCTCTCTCTCTCTCCCCCTTTTAGGAGTGTGGTGTGTGGCAGTGGAGAGAAAGTATATTGCAGTCTGCGGACACTTTGTCCATCCAGGAAGTGACGGAGGATGACATTGGGAACTACACTTGTGAGCTGCCTTTTGGAGGATTCGTGGTGCGAAGGACCACCTACCTGAGTGTTACAGGTAATGCTATGCTTGCTTGTTTTTATGTGTGTGTGTGTCTGTTCATTACTGTTCAAAAGTCAAAGACAAATCCTAGGCAAAACAGCACCTACGTTATTAATTTTTTCAGGAAATATTTCTATGGACATTAGATGCAAGATTACAGTTTAAATTTATTTTTATGCAAAACTCATTAACTCTGAAATAAAGATAAAAATGACATTTTTTCAAAAACATTTTAACAATTATATAAATTTACATTTTCTATATTCATGAAAAGTGTACTTGCTAATTAATTAAAATAAAAATGCCAGTTTTCAAAAAAATGAAAACTAAAATTATAATAATGTTAACTATAACATGAAAAGGAATAAAATAGAATATTTCCAGTGCATGAAGGACAGTTTAGAAGTGGATTCGCAATGTGCTTGCAGTCTAGCTGAGCACAGTGCACTGCTTTGCTACTTAAGCACTGTGAAAGCATCAAACTGCACTGTAATCATTTCTTCTGTATTTATTCCAATTGTATTTGGTTGTTTTACAAGCACCTACTGTCAAGATAAATGGTTTTAAATAATGTGCTGAAGTGCCTAAGATTTTGCACAGTACTGTATATGATTGTGGTTGTGCCTATGGTTCAATCATTGTTAGAATTCAAGTATTTGTTAGATTTGTTAGAAATCCAGTATTTGCCCCATTCTTCACGTCACCAACAAGACATGACGTTATATGAATATAGCCTGAACATACAGCAGTCCAGTTTAGAATTCTTATGGCTAGTTAGGAAAATGGATAGGTGCACAGTATAGAACTGATTAATAAATATTTAATATACTGAGCTTTCCTTCTATCCAAACCATTTAATAAAGAGTTCTCAGGCTGGTGTCTTTATAATACTAACTGCAGTGATGAAGCACTTCATTATAAAGCAGTGGCAGCCTTGTCAACCCACTTTACTACGCACACACACTTAACCTCCATTATTGCTGTGACCTTACAGCTGCTTAACCACACACACACACACGTATGCATTCACATGCACATGCTTAGACACACAGCCCAACTTTATCTCTGCCATCCATTAAATCTAAATTTATGTTGAAAATCACTGTGCAGTTAATGCGATATTAATTAAAACCAGGACTTTGGCCTGGTGAGGTTAGCTAATCGTAACAATCTGCACTCAGGCAGTGCGTTCCATTATGTAGCATGTTCACTCTATCACAAGCGATCACTCCAGCATTACTCAGCAAATGAGCTGTAGAACAAATCACAGAAAACTACTGATGTGTTCTGGTTTCACACTGACCACTCGCAGATGTTCCTGTTGAGTGTCCTGATGATTCACAGCCGTTCACATGTTCTGCCTTCATGTTATTCTGTGCGGGGTCTGTGTATGAATATTTGCAGTCCCTGTTAACTGCACTCATGTCAAGCAAAAGAGTTAGATTTGGTCTTAATCAGATGGTCAGGTACAGATTTAACCTTTAGAAATCTAGAGTTATTGCTGTCATTTTGCTGTATTATTATTATTTTTTTCTTTCCATAAAGTAAAATAAAATAAAATAAAATAAAATAAAATAAAATATCTTCTACTCACTGACACAAATGTGGAATAAGCTGTTCTGGTATGATCTTCCTCGTATGTAAAAGTGATGTCCGTGGGCAGCAAGGGGGTGGGGTGGGGGGCCATTGGCACTATCCACAGAAGAGGGCCTCACACTAAAAAAGTTTGACAACAGCTGATCTAAAAGCTTCTGTACACATCTTGTGGAGACAACAAGCTGGGTGAACTCCACAGAATACACTATGCAACAAAGCCTGTAATTGGTTGGTGCAAAATCCTTTAAAGATGGATTGGCCAATCGGCTTCTCCCAACTCACAAGTGTTCATAACCCGTTATGGTTAAAGAGTGGCTTATAGCGTATGTAAAAACACACACACACACACACACACACACACACACACACATCATCTAAACCGCTTATCCTTCTGGGTCACGGTGGGGTGCTGGAGCCTATCCCAGCTGCCAGTGGGCAGAAGGCGTATGTAAAAACATCCCTACAGAATTCTTTACCCCTTTGATAAAGATGAGCCAAAAAGGCTCTGAACAAAATGTCTTTATTGTTAATCAGCTTGAACTTACACTGAACAATTAAAGATGTCTTACAAATCCAGTTCCAAAAAATTTGGGACAATATGTGAAATGCTAATACCATCAGAAGGCTGTGATTAGTAAAATGCGTTTGACATATATTAAACTGAAAATACTCCAAAAAAGTTGGGACAGGAGCATGTTTACCACTCTGTTACATCACCTTTCCTTTTAACAATACTTACTAGTCATTTGGAGGCTAAAGACACAAGTTAGTTAGTTTTGACAGCAGAGCGTTTTTGCTATTCTTCTCTTATTTAAATTAGCTATGCAACTGTGCAGAGCCTTTGTTGTTGTATTTTACACGTTTTCAATGAGAGATGGGTCTGGTCTGCAGGAACGCCAGTGTCGTAACCGCGCTCTCTGATTACGCGGCCATGCTGTTATAACACATTGTCATGTTAAAGAGGACTCATTATGCTTTTCCGGTTTCCTTTCTTTTCGTGTGTTATATGGCTCGTTGTGCATGTAAAAGGTCTACAAAGTAACAAAGCCCAAAGTAAATGCCAGGGGGAGCAACTCTCTCTCACAGAAACCATCTTTCTCAACTGTTTGAAATGTTTCAAGATGATGTAATCTTGTAATACAGTTCTCATTGCCTGCCTACCGGCATGCTTGGCACACCCTCACACAAGAGAGTTACAAAGCAAAAACTTACCACTCTGAAATGTCCTGCTCCAGTCTAGCTCATGAAGGTGGATTGGATATACAAACTTGTTTTACCTGACTTTCAGGATTAAACTCTAGTTCAAACTGATACGACTATATATTGTAAGAACAGCCACAGCGATGAATGAGCAGAACTTGTAGCAGGATGCTGCTCTGGTGGTTGACCAGTAAGAACTGAGTGGGTGAGCTGAGCTGAGGGGCCTTAGAGACACAGGAGCTCTAACAGAGCGTTTCAGACAGAGCGTGAATAGAGATGTACAGTATGAGGGAAACAATGTGTTTTAGAACACTGAAGCATGTACATCTATTCCATATTCATAGATTTAGAATCTATTCTAGATTCATAGGTCCCCTTTAACCCTCTGGGGTCTAAGGGCATTTTCTTGATTTTTGCATATGTTCTTAAATTCACCTTTAAAGGCACTTGCATATGGCATGATACCCACCCTATAATGAGGCCATTTTGACCTAAAGCTGAAAAAGTGAAGTCTGGTTTTAGAAATCTCTTGAGAAACCAGCTTTACTCATTGTTTTGCATGTGCCTCAACTTGTCTTCATTGGTTCATAACTGCAGAGGTGAGTCATGTACGATCTTTTAATGTGATGGAATGAAAAGGGCAAGCAGATTTAGAAACTCTTTGAACTGTATTTCTGTGCTGTATTATCGCAAAGATATTAATAGAAACAGCAAGAAACATCTAGTTTGATGTCCCGGCACGTTCTCTGACCCCAGAGGGTTAATACAAACATCCCTGAAAACGATGTCTAGAAGGCAGTGTATGTTGCCCCAAAATGTGTTAAACATTAATAGTGCCTTCAGAGAAGTGAAAGCTGCCAACTAACCCCCCCAGACCATGACAGACCCTGGCTTTTAAATTTTTACACTGGTAACAATCTGTATGTATTTTTTGTTCTTCTTTGGTCTGGAGAACACAACATTCTTAATTTCCATAAACAACTTGAAAGGTTGACTCAGACCACAATACATGTTTCTACTGTGTGTCAGTCCATTTCAGATTAACTCAAGCCCGGAGACGTTGGCAGCATTTCTGGACACTGTTGAAATTTGTCTTTTGCTGTATAGCCTTAACATTTAGCATGTGGGAAAGCAGAGGTGTATATTAATAAAGATTTGTCATTGTTCCTGAGCCCATGTGGTGAGATCCATTCTAAAAGCGTGCTAGTTTTTAAACGCAGTGCCATCTGAAAGATCGATGAGCATTTGGTTGTGATTTACGGTCTTACCCTTTACACATAAAGATTTCATCTTTTCATGATATTATACACTGTAGAGGGTGAAATACCTAAATTCCTTGCAATTGCTCAGTGAGGAACCTTATTCTTAAGCTGATGGATATTTTGCTGATGCATTTTTGACAAAGTGGCAAGACTCCACCCATCCTTGCTTATAAAGGTCTAGGCCTTTACTGGATGCTTCTTTTATCACCTGTATAAAAATTTTTTTGAACATGTCACAGTGTTCCACAATGTCTTAAACTGCCCTGTCCCTACTCTTTTGGAACATGTCACAGGCATCAATTTTAAAATCAGTGTATGTTTACAAAAAACAAGCAAGTTGGTATGATAAAACTATATATTGTTTTTATGCTATTTTTGTTTAAATACAAAGTCAAAGTTGGTTTATAAATCAGTGCTTTCTGTCTTTATTTGCAGCTTTTGGAATTGTTTGTACTGTTCAATTAAATAAAATGACATATATATATATATATATATATATATATATATATATATATATATATATAAGGTATTCTGCTTTTGTAAGGGGCAGTAATTCTTGAGGGCACTGCATGCATAATTCGGCAAACTGTGTCCTCAGACTGTCAAGGTTAGTGTTATGTGCTCTAGCATGCAAAAACCCCATGCGCAGATCTATTAATATCCTTATTTTAATTTGAAAGGTTTTATGAGTAACAAGGAAAATACTTTCTGTAGCATTCTTTCTCAATTACTGACACGTGCAGTTTCAGTCTACTTACTCTATTACCCCTCCTTCTTTCCACCTCCTTCTATCTACACTCATTGTCCATTTTATCAGCTCCACTTACCATATAGAAGCCCTACTATCCCCATCCTATTAGACACGCTTACCTTGTTGATCCACCTTGTAGATGTAAAGTCAGAGATGATAGCTCGTCTGCACAGTTTGTGTTAGTGATCCACAAGTCCTTCTTTACT